CCTGTCTGTTGCTGCATTTGATGATTTGATCCCAGCCCATCTTGTCTTCCTTGAAAGCCGGGTAGGAAAATGATTTGACCCATGTGAAATTTTTGGATCAAAGTTGAGAAAAACCATGTTTCACCCCGAATCAGATCTAAACTAGTGTTGGTAATTTTGCCTAGATTTCCCGCCGTTGCATTCTCATATGAAGCTCTCGGCTCAAGAAACTTACACTACGGTAATGCTGCAGGAAATTATTCTTGTTGAGGGCTTGAAACTCGAAGATGTCCCCGCAGGAGTATATACTGTCCATTGTCTGCATTTGAGATTGCTTGGTGCAGAAGGATCACCTATAAGATGCATCCTCATCAAATAACTGCTCTGAGTGAGTTTTGTTCTTTTTGAAGGGAATAACAATTGCTTTATCTACGATTATCATCGTCAGACATGATCGATTTGTCCCTGCTTGTTTACTGTAGAGCTGTCAGTTGAATATTCCTTGTTGTTTTCGTGACTTTGCATGCGATAATGCCAAGTGCTAACGGGATTTCTTCTTGCTGTTCCAGGAGAGTGGAAGTTATCCGAAGCGCCAGGTGAGAAAAGGCATTGCATGCACGTTCGCCTCAGAATTCAGATGTTCTTTGGCGGGACAGACTTGCAGAGAATGCAGAACTTTAGCGGTCATGTGAATATGTTTAACTATTACTATAGGAAAACAGAAGCTATGGTTATGTCTACATGAATAATGTTAGTCTTCCAAAATAAGACTCGTCTGGATTGTTTCCATGTTTCTTCATTTCGGTTACGAAAGAGCTGCTGGCTATTTGAGTTCATTTGAACATATTTTTGACCAGGCCCCTGCAAATTTTCTCTTCCACGGTGTCGTAACGATCGTGCTAGTTACCAATAGCTTCTGCTTGAGAATGTAGGATATGACATACAACATGAATAGAGAGATCGACGCCGAAACTGTGACGGTCAATGCAGATGAATGCAAAAGAGATTTTTGATTTACATGCGACCAAAAGATCAGCAGCTACGACATGATCATACACAAGACACGCACAAATCAACTGGGCTCGTACACCCGCCGTGGAAGACATCCATTTGCAATACAATTGGTTTTTCCTCTTATTACTAGCAAGATTTTCAGGTGGATATAGATTTTACTCGTAATAAAAAAATGGAACTGGTATAAAACAAGACGGTCTAGTAATTTGCTGTCCAAACACTTCTTGACAAGCAACAATAAAAAAAGAAAACAAAAAGAAAAGTTTCCAGGTCAAAAGAAGAAAACTACCGGTGTTAGACAACGTAATTACAAGATTTATATACAACAGTAGCTTCCTGCAGAATCTTCAACATTTCTTCTGGCAGAAGCTCCCCCTCAGTAAGGTGGAGGAGGATGATGCCCTGGATAAGCACCTGAGCAATGAACAACATAGAATTAGCAATTCTAATAAGCGATTTGAAAAATATTTTTCTAAAAATAAGCGTTTATATCGCTTGAAATAATTAGTGGAAGAAAAATGTTTTCGTTGTCGACGGCAATTTATGTCTAAATATTTTCGTGGACGATAAAAATATTTTTTATTCATTCATTTTTTTAAGCAATACAAACGATCATTTTGAGAAGAATGTTTACCAAATCATTCATTTTCCGCGAAACGTGCGCACCCTAAGTAAAGTATCAAGTATTAGAAATTGTGAAGTAGTAAAAAATATGTATGTATATAACCCACAAATGCCATTTAAGATATCTCTTCACAGATCAAGTTATCGTTGTTAAGAGAGTGTAATCCTCAATTCTAAGCAACCTTACTTTAAGACGTGCTTGTTTCGAGGAAAACCTTACGATAAAAGAAGTACTTTCCAAAAAATCTTTTTCAGGAAAATATTTCCCCCTTTTCAAAATATGGAATTCATTTTCCTTACTTTAAGGATCCATATTTTCTTTTACCGTAAATGATTTTTTGTTGACCGATCATTTTTAACAAACCAAATATGTGAAAGTCCACAAAAGAAATGCACGATTTCTTTTTCTTCAAACAAAAACACCCTTAGTTGCTTTCCTAATACGGCGCGTAATACTGAAATTGAATTTCCCATTAATGAGATTAGTTTAGTCGAAGAAAGCAAACTGAAAATGAATCTTACCAACTCTTACATCGAACGATAGTGCTTTGGTAGTGCGCTTAGCAGTTGGAACTATTCATTTTTTTAAGGGAAAATTCCAAAAAGGGGACCGAAGTGGAGTTATTTTCTCAAATAAGAGCTCGAAGTAGACCTTATTTCAAATAAGGGCATGAAGTGCCCTCATTTTCTCAAATAAGGGCCAGAAGTGAATTTTGTCTCAAATAAGGGTCTGAAGTGGCTATATCAATTTCAAATAAGGACCTGACCTCAATGGCCAAAGGGTATTTTCTTCTTTTACTTTTTTTTTCTTTTCCTTTTCCTTTTCCTTTTCCTTTTCCTTTTTTTTTTCCTCTCTTCCCTCCGTCGGCCATCGCCGGGGCCGGCGGAGGTCGCCGACCTCAGGCGAAGGCCGCCCTCACCCGATGCAGGCGAGGGCAACCCAGGCAAGGGCGAGGGTCGCCTCACCTGGGCTGGGTGAGCGAGGGTGACCCTCACTTGATGCCGGCGAGGGCGAGGGTTGCCCTTGCCGGATATGGCAAGGGTCGCCCTTGCCCGACGCCGACAAGGGCGACCCTTCCCTTGCCCGACGTGGGCTAGGTGGCCCTCGCCTGAGGCCGGGGAGGTCGCCGGCCAGGCGTAGTGACGGCTGGGGAGGGAAAAAGAAAAAAGAAAAAAGAAAAAGGAAAAGAAAAGTAAAAAAATATAAAAAAATATACTTATAATTTTTTTTGGCTAAAATACCCTTTTTCCGGCGACAGAATAGTCACCGGCCGGATAAAGGTCCTTATTTGAGACGATTAGGCCACTTTAAGTCCTTATTTGAAACGATTTGGCCACTTCGTGCCTTTATTTGAGATAATGTCCACTTTAGATCCTTATTTGAGAAAATGACTCCATTTCGAGCCAATTTTTGGAATTTTTTCTTTTTTTAATAAGTCGGAAGCCTAACGGCGAACATGAAAAGTCAATCAACTTGCTATTGTTTACAAAATCAAAGAGAGTATGATTTTGAAATTCGATAGTTATTTCTTATCTAGCACATTAGGATAATTGGTAATGACCTTTTTATATATTACGTGAATCAATTCTAACGTTTTTTTTTTTTCAGAAACATCAATGTTACATATGTAATTAAAGTTTTTTTAATCAAATTAATGTAAAAGGTAACGGTTCTTCAGTAACGTGAAGAGAATTGGAAGAGAGTGAAGGTTTGTGATTATGCGCCTCAATTACAGAGATGTGTTCTATCCAACTTTCTTATTATATATTTATAATTCGCGAAAAATTACAAGTCATATTTGAAAATCTGTCAGCCTAGCTCACAAATTTTTTAAAGTTTTCGCATGTCCACTTCTAATAATTCTCTTGAAACATGAGAAATTTTAAGGTATCTTAACGTACTATAACACTAATTTTTTTATGATTATTTTATACTTAATAACATCGTAAATTGATCTTACGGCGTTTTGTGTATCCGATGACGATAACCTATCGTGACGTTGTACGGTACATGTACAAATACTTTCATCATCTGAAAATTACAAGTCATATTCAAAAATTGATTACATCGGCTCCCAAACCCGAAAACTTTCATGCCTCCGCTGCTAATAATTCTCTCGAAATGTGAGAAATTTTAAGATACTCTGGCGCATCACCCCCCGCCGTTCTACGATTGTTTTATATCCGGATACGAATTCCCGACCGATTACTGTAACATCATGAAACTAATTTCACCACGTTTTACTCATTTGATCATGATGAAGTGTCGCTTGCGAGGTTGTAAGATAACACTCGGGAAACCCTAGAATTTGCTCTCCGAAGCGTCGGGCTCCACTCTCTTTCGACCTTCGAGTCGCCGACGTCTCCGCCATAGTCAACAAAGCTAGCAGAAAAGCTACGTCGAGGACTGCACACATGGTGGTCTGCAGCATCGGAGGACGTCACGCCAACCATCGAGTCAGCAAGGATGTGATATGCTGAGTGTTGACGGCATCTGTCTCCGTTTTCCGTTGTTATTTTGTCATGGATGATCGATAAAAGAAGGACAAGTCTCTTTTGCGATTATTGGGTGTCATGCAATATGCTCAACAGTGTAAACAATAAAGCCCGTCAACGTCATTTGAAAGTTCTCTTTCGGGCTTCGTGCCCGACCGCAATTCCACGTGAGGTTCGGCATTTTAAGATACCGAATCATCACTTAATCCCCCTTTTAATTGAGCATCAAACTGACTAGGACTTTGCATTTTTTAGGATATTGGATGATGTGATTATAGATGATAGATCAGTAAGGAATGCCAAGTGTGTTTTTTGGGGATTCTATTAAGTAATCAAATAATAAAAAAAGTTCACTGCAATATTCGGGTGTGGATTTCTCTTGTAACATGTGTGCAAGCGATAACAACATAAATAGTTAATAAATATCGGTACGGGTCTTGTTCACATGATTAATTGGATGTTGCTGATGAATATTTCGAAGACATTTGTTAGGAAACTAGTCAAGCGAGCAAACTTTCTTTTGTTTTTGGTCGACAAGAGAGCAAACTTGGAAATACTAATTTTTTCGATATTAGGTATATTAAAGCTTGGGGAACTCGATATTCTTTTTATCGCAATTTGTTAACGGGCAGTTATCAAGTACTTAAATAAAAGAAGGCTTATCATTTTCAAGATGCATTTTTTCTCACGTTTACATCAAGACATAAAATATATATATTTTTCATCTAGTATAAATATAAGCATACTATTAAGGGTAGCTGTTGACTATGTGCATTAAAAAGGAAAAAGGAAATTAAAAAGAAGAATCCGATTCCTGAAACATGCCTATAAAGATGAAGGATTAGATGTTCAATCTCAAGCTGCTTAAACCATCTTTAATCCTCTCTCTCTCCTGTGCCATTCATCAATGACGGGCGAAGTGGAGATGTTCTTCTTCCCCTTCGTGGGAGGAGGCCACCAGATCCCCATGATCGATCTCGCCCGCCTCTTCGCCTCCCACGGCGTCAGGTCCACCATCGTCGCTACCCCTAACAACGCCCTCTCCTTCCAACGCTCCATCGCCCGCGACCGGGACTCGGGCCGGCCCATCTCCATCCTCCCCTTCGAGCTGCCCCCAGACTCCGAGCCACCCGACTTCGACATGTCCGCCGCCCCCGTCACCGACACCTCCATGCTCCAGGAACCCCTCAGGCTCTTGCTCATTGCGAGGCCACCTGACTGCATCATCGTCGACATGTTCCACCGTTGGTCGGCCGATGTCATCGATGAGGTGGGAGTTCCCAGGATCCTGTTCCATGGGAACGGCTGCTTCTCTCGGTCTGTTTATCCAATTAAGTATAGGAAACTGGACAAGTTTACCGGGAAGCAGTACCTTCGCACAGCAGGTCTCGAGGCTTCCGGCTATCCGTACATTTGGGCGTACGGGAAAACCTTGGAGATGGTGCAATGCGAATACGAGCCGTTTGAGATCCCGGGCCTGCCGGATAGGATCGGGATGACTTGGTCGCAGCTTCCTAATTTTCACAAGCACCCAGGTGGCGGGAAGCCGCCTGGTCGGATGTGGAATTCGGAGGAGAGGAGTCTTGGGGTCGTGGTGAATAGCTTTCTTGAGCTGGAACCGGCTTATGTGGAGTACTTCAAGAAGGAGATGGCGAAGAAAGTTTGGGTGGTCGGACTAGTGTCGCTGTGCAATAGGAATGTGGAGGATAATGCCGAGAGTGGGCAACGAGCTGCTACTGATGAGCACAGTTGCCTGAGTTGGCTCAATGCTAAAGAACCCAACTCTGTTCTTTACGTTAGTTTTGGGAGTTTGGCCAGGTTGACCCCGAAACAGCTCCTTGAGATTGCATATGGTCTCGAGGCTTCGAGCTTTTCGTTCATTTGGGCAGCTGGGGAAATCCTTGAGTCGTTGGAAAATGGAGAGGGAGGCCGAGAGGATTGGCTTCCGAGTGGGTTTGAAGAGAGATTGACGGAGTCCGAGAGGGGGTTGATTATCAGAGGATGGGCACCGCAGCTGTTGATTCTTGAACACCCTTCGGTGGGTGGCTTCATGACGCACTGTGGGTGGAACTCGATTCTGGAGGGTGTAAGCGCTGGCCTTCCGATAGTCACTTTCCCGCGCTCGGCTGAGCAGTTTTTCAATGAGAAGTTGGTCACTGATGTGTTGGGGATTGGGGTCCAGGTTGGGAGCATGGTGTGGACGTCTTGGAACACCGAGCCGGGCCCGCCAGTGGGTAGAGAGAAAGTGGAGGCGGCCGTGAGGAAATTGATGGATGGAGGAGAGGAGGCGGCGAAGATGAGGAGAAAAGCCAAAGAGCATGGAGAGAAGGCCAAGAGAGCGGTAGAAGCACGTGGGTCCTCGTATGAAGATGTTGAGGCCTTGATTCAAGAGCTCAAGTCTCGCAAGAAGGACTAAGTTTGTAGTGATTGAGTCAGTGTACCACATATGATATTGGCCTTACGTGAGCAGCAAGGAGAGTTCAAACTCGTCAACAATGGCCGTAGTGGCGCCGTCTGTGACGTTGCGCTCTTGTAAGTTAATAATATTTGAAACTGTGCAGTTACTATAAACTGTTGTTAAATATATAAATAGTATATATAAATATGTTATAGAGAGCCATACATAGCAGCCGCCGCTCTCTCCCTTGGAGCTCTCTCTCACGCCTCTCTCTCTCTCTCTCTCTCTCTCTCTCTCTAGCCGCTCCTCCACCGGAAGGCTCGATTCCGGCCGATTCCGCACCGATGCTCATACTCGAGGTAGGATTCTCATCTTTCGTGATCGATTTCTCGTGATCACCCGGGGATACTAGGATGAATATAGTCTAAAATCAAAGTACAATCTTCGATCCATGTTCAATTCCGAGTTAGGATGTGAAAGAAATTCGAAAATCGAATCAGAATCCACCCTAATACTTTCAGCCTCATGAAATTGCTTGATGAAATTCTGGGTAATGCTTGCTGGTCATGACCTTAGGATTAGGGTTTGATGTGTATTTTAATGTTGTTTGGCCTCTAGATGTTCATATATTAGTTTCTGGGTTTAGGGTTGAATGTGATTGAATATGGATGAATGTAGGTTGAATATTCATAAGCTTAAGTTTCGAGATGCAAACCTTTTTACCAGAAACTCGAATCTGCCCGACCCCCAGCTGTTCCCGACTTTTCTGAATTTTTGTGTCTCGAAATTTGAAAAAAAATTCGTTCACCAAAGTTGTAGCTAAGATTTCAATCTTTCAAATAACACAAATCTCATAAAATTTAGGGTTCATTTGGCCAGTACAATGGCCTCTCTAAAAGATGATTTTCCCGGGGTGTTTGATCCAAAACTTTCGATTTCTTGTCGACTGATTTTAATGTGGGTTCGCTGAGGAAGTGAGAGCCTTTGCTACCAACAACCCAACAGTTGCTTGCATACTAAGAATAGCAGCACCCATCCCTAACAGGTTCAACATGATGCCATTCTTCAAACTTTTGACTACATCTGCTCGAAAAGGAGCCTGTATATTGTCATACATCATCACAGCACCACTCATTGGTATCAGGAGTGACAAACACAGTCTCACGGCTAGGATAATTGGTCAAAACAGGCTTTGTATAACTGGTTGATACAAATGTCAAATCAGAGAAGAGCTGAACCAGACATTCAATTGAAAAGCAGTCATCATTCAGAGTAAACACACGAGGAAGGTTGACGAACACTAAGGAACACTTTGTGAGCACAAGAACACTTGGGGAACACTTTCACATTGTGGAAAGCTCCATCGCCAGGCACACATGTGAGCGCAAGAACACTTGGGGAAGCGGGGTAGCACGTGCATTGCAATTCAAGAGGAATTCATTTAAGCATGCAGATGCTGAATGGCCAACTTGCATTTCCTTGCATACATGAATTTTATTGCTTGATACATGGGGCAAGCTCTTGATAACAGGAAGCTTAGGAACGTGGTTAGATACCTTCGAGGGATCATTAGCAGTTTTCCGAAGCTTCTCAGATAGCCGAATATATCCAAATGACCAAAAGACGGAAATGAAAGCTGCCGCTATCCCGCCGGCAGTGGCGTAAAAAGTGGCCGGCGATGTGACCTTCCCAGTTATAACCACGGAAAAGGAAAGAATAACCGCAGCCACAACAGTGCACACTAGCTGTCCCCAAAACCCTAAATTCCCCAACCTCCGGAAATACCTTGAGGTATTCTCTAGTCTTTTGGTTACCTGCACAGCATCATAGGCAAAATCAAAACTTTTAAATCGAACCCATAAGAACCGAATGAACCGACTGGCGTTAACCTTCGATCCAACATTGCCCAAGGATCACGGTAACAGACACTCCGTTTTTACATTCACTGTTCTATGAAGTTGCCAGTTCCATTACTCACAGCCTCACACTCACACATGACAATTACAGCCCAGTTCACAACCCTAATCCCAGAAGAGGGTGAAACAAGATAGTCTGAATTTTGGATGTAAAGCAGTCTAATTTGATCCCACCTGAAGTAAAACTAACATTCAGCACGATTTACAGGAGGCGGGTATACCAAGAAAATAACCAATATTCAATTCCTTCAGTTTCAAGCTCTTGCAAGTTCAAACCCACCAAACAGAATCACCGAATAAAGAGACGAAACATAAGTTAACTCAACCTGGGCAAGTTTCGCCTTCTCAGCATCGTCGTTCGGAGAAGTGGAGGCAGGAGAAACCGGAGAGGAGGCCACCGAGGTGGAGAACAGCTTGGATCGTCTGCAGCCGAGAGCATCGCGAGGCGAAAGGGATGTCAAGGGAAAGGCGTTCGATCTGTGTGCCGGTCCAGCGGCAGAGAGAGAATTCGGAGAGGAAAGACAAGGACGGTGGCCAACGAGCAATAGCGGCTCTCTGGCAGCGAGGCGACGGAGGTACGACGATGAGGCGGGACCCGACGGCGCCGAGAACGTGCCGGAGCTCGCCGCCGGCGCCGGCAAGAGGAGGCTCTGCATGATTCGAAGGTCACCGAGTGAAGAATGGAATATGCTGAAGCGAGGTCGGAGCAGAAATGGGGCAAAAAGAGAAGTGGGCGTTCCAAGTAGATATTACTTTCCCTTTGTCTTTTCCTTTTCCCATTTCATTTCTTTATAAACATTATTATAGTGAAAACATAAGAAAAAATTAGTATCCCCGTAATAGAATTTTATGAATAATCGAAACAAGTACTTAATAGATTACTAAGTTTAATAAGCAAAAATAAATTATCGCTTATATCAATTGAGCTACTTTCATATGTTTTGTCATTTCTAAAACTTTCGAGAATATTATAGTATGATTACCTCGTAATTTTTTGTGTAATTTCACCTGTATAGGTTAAAAACTAGAAGCTTTTTTTTTGAAAAAAAGGGCAAATTTCACCTAATCTTACGAATTAGATAATACCATGAAAACAAAATAGAAAGCAAATCCTTGCAAGGGATTCACTCTCATAACACAGGAAGAACTTGCAAGTAATGGAGAGCAGAACAGATGTCGACACAACCATCTTCTCCATTGGAGACAAATCTTGATGAAGTCGTCTGGAGTTTTTGCTTCAAAGAGGAAGGCTGGCAACTGAGTTCCTGACAAAAATAGATACTGCAACTTGAACGAGAGAACTTTGACAATAGAATCACCTTACACTCCCTCCACATCCCATGATCGAAGCAGAAGGCACGCGATTAAATGTGAGAGACTGTAATTTGGGAGAAAAATTCGGTGGTTCGTGCACGCCACTTCACGTGCCTATGTGGCGTGCATAAACTCACGTGGACCACTGATAATAGGATATGTGGCTTTGACCCGGAATATAAAAAAATAAAGCTATATTTCGAGTCTCTCTCCTCTAGCGCCCTAGGAAGAAGACTCTCTCTCTCCTCTGTGCCTATAGGAGGAGGCGTGAGCAAAGAAGTGAAGCAATTAATGCACGCATTAGTTGCTGTGTTCTCTCTCTCCCCCTCTCCCTCTCTTTTCTCTTTCCGTAAGTTTGAATGTCCATTTCTTTTTCACTCTTCTCCTTCCCTTCCCAAAAGGCTTCCTCTCATCTCATCCTTGTTCTTAGCTTTTCTTCTTCACTTTCGTCGTCGGTGGCTCCGCAAATCGCCGGTGAAAAGCGGAAGGTCAGTCGCAGTGGCTGGGTCCCGAGACCCCCTCCGCCTCCGCCTCCGCCTCCGCTTCCGTCCTCTGCTCGCCTCGCGCACCTGAAAGGGAGTGAGGCAAAGGTCAAGGGGCGGGTGACCGCCCTTGACATACGAGCTTGGGGGCGAGGTTGGGAGACGGCATTTTTTTTCTTTGGTTGAAGGCGGCAGCTCCCATGGCGAGAAGGCTGTTGCTGCCACCAAGCCCAAAGCAGCTGCAAAGCCGAAAGCCATGGCGGGTGTGAAGAGAAAGGCGGCCAAGAAGCCGAAGTTGAAGCCCGCGACGAAGGTGGTGAAGACTTCTGCGAAGGCGACGCCCGGGAAGAAAGCTGTGGAGAAGGTTGCCGCCGCAAAGCTGAAGAAGACGCCGGCGAAGAAGCCGAAGAGCGTGAAGACGCCGATGAAGAAAGCCAAGAAGTGAGTCAGTGCTGTGTTCTTTACTAGCGTGAGGCAGAGGCCGAGGGGCGGGTGACTACCCTCCACAAGAGCTTCAGGTTCTCGAAGTTCTTCTCGATCAATGCGAGCTTCACCTCGGCATCTTGGCGCACCACAGTTAATCCGATTTGTTGCTTATTCTTGTAATTTTCTTATCAGTTGTCTTTATTGCATTGTTTAAATAATATGAGCAAAAGAATGAACTCAAACAGCGAATCGTGTTACTTTGGGTTGTCTTCCACTTCAAGCTTTGGACAGCTAATTCGTGCGTCTTTGTTGGCCATCACGAGCTCGACAACGAAGCACGATCTTCTACGAAATCGTATCCTATGCTTACTAAATTTTTTTTGGGTTTCTTGTGTTGTGCACAACGTAGAAACAACTTTTGTTGCTGGTCGCAAGTGGTCGTGTACCTACTAGCCTTCTGCTATTTCACAAGGCAAACGGCCTTACCAAATTTTATATATACGTGCATATCACTTGTTACTCCGAGAAAATCGAATCCCGTGCCATCGAGACCTAGTAGTTGAATTAGATTTGGACCATCGAAAGGGGACTTCCGGCAACCCGAGACAAGTTTTGATAGAGAAAAAATGTCGTCGCGTCTAGATAATTCCAAGGATTAGTCCGTGTTTAACAAGATGGATCGAATTCGGTGATTCTACGAAATGGACACGCTCACGTGGTTTCTCGCGTGACCATATTGAGAGACGTGGCCGTAAAACTTGATGTGTGACCACGTGAAGTCGGCGCTGTCTTCACGCCGCGCTCTGGTCAAATTTCAACCTTAGTGATCTCGCCATGTTCATATGAGGCGTCAAAAAAAGCTTGGACATGTCGGCAATGTGGATGGATGATGACAATGATGCCGAGGATCATCTGGCTTGGGCTTGGAGGAGAGGTTCTCTGGCATTAAAAATAGGAAGGAAGTCGAAGACGTGAAAGATGAGAAAATGATCATATGAGAGAAAATCATATTGATCTATGAGAAAATCAACTGAGGGCCGGCTCTTGCACAATACTTTGTTTAGGTTACACAGCCCGAATGACAAACTATAACATTTTGTCCTCTTCCTTCAACCAAAAAAAAAAAATGCCCTCTCCCCCTAAGCTCGTACTTGCTCCCTGAAGAACTTCGACAACCCGAAGCTCTTGTCGAGGGCAGTCACCCGCCCCTCGACCTCTGCCTCACGCTAGTAAAGAACATAGCACTAACTCACTTCTTCGCTTTCTTCATCCGCGTCTTCACGCTCTTTGGCTTCTTCGCCGGCATCTTCTTCAGCTTCGCGGCGGCAACCTTCTCCACAGCTTTCTTCCCGGGCATCGCCTTGGCAGAAGTCTTCACCGCCTTCGTCGCGGGCTTCAACTTCGACTTCTTGGCCGCCTTTCTCTTCACACCCGTCATAACTTTCGGCTTTGCAGCTGCTTTGGGCTTGGCTGCAGCAACGGCCTTCTCGCCATGGGAGCTGCCGCCTTCGACCAAAGAAAAAAAATGCCGTCTCCCAACCTCGCCCCCAAGCTCGTATGTCAAGGGCGGTCACCCGCTCCTTGGCCTCTGCCTCACTCCCTTTCGGGCGCGCAAGGCGAGCAGAGGACGGAGGCGGAGGTGGTCGTGGGACCCAGCCACTGTGACCGACCTTTCGCTTTTCACCGGCGGTTTGCGGATCCATCGACAACGAAAGTGCAGAAGAAAAGCTAAGAACAAGGATGACATGAGAGGAAGTCTTCTAGGAAGGGAAGGAGAAGAGTGGAAAAGAAACGGACATTCAAACTTACGTGAAAGAGAAAAGAGAGGGAGAGGGGGAGAGAGAGAACAAAGCAATTAATGCGTGCATTAATTGCTTCACTTCTTTGCTCACGGCTTCTCCTATAGGCACAGAGGAGAGAGAGTCTTCTTCCTAAGGCGCCAGAGGAGGGAGACTCGAAATATAGCTTTATTTTTTTTTTATTCTAGGTTAGAGCCGCATGTCCTATTATCAGTGGTCCTCGTGAGTTTATGCACGTAGGCACGTGATGTGGCACGCACGAACCACTGAATATTTTCTCGTAATTTGGTAGAGAGATATTGAACGGGAGATTGGACATTGGAAGTGCACTTCTTCTGCACCACTAGTTTGTGAACAAATCTTGACCCCATCGTCCAAACTGAGAGATTATCACCTTTCATCTTCATATTGTTCCGTGGTATTTCCACATGCCAAGTGTAACCGGGCAATCTTGGCACTGCCCAAGTGCAGCATCTTATCTTATTTTGTCTTGCAAGAACTAGAACTTCTTGTTCCACAGACCCTTTCTTCAGTGTACAAGAGTCACAGAGCTTTGCGCAAGCTCTTGAACGTGGCCAAAACAATGAACTACACACTCCACCGCCTCGTCCTGTCATCCGTCTCCCTCGCCCTTATTGCGTTCCATGTCGCCGCCTCCCTCTCTGCTTATCCTACGATTCCAGGTGCCGACACCGGCGAGTGCTCGGTCCCTGTTAGCGAAAATCTAGTTCCAGTACGCCGAGAAGTATATGATAATGGCAGGATCATCGACATCACACACAGGATCACGTCGGACTTGCCGTCCTATGAATCGATGGGGAGCTTGGGGCAGTTCCTTTGGCTTGCTTTCAGCTTGAAGAATGGTTCGCTCACCAACAACTCCGAGATGAAGCTTCCTGCTCACACGGGCACGCACGTGGATGCTCCCGGGCATGTGTATGATCATTACTATGAAGCCGGGTTCGATGTGGACACGCTAGACTTGGAAGTCCTTAATGGTAAGTTTTTCGAATCCTACTTTGGTTGATTTTGCTTACTGTGATTGTTTCCTGACCACGAGCCATGAACGGGGAAGATGGGCTATAACTTTGTGTACGAGTTGTTCCTGTGTCCATCTCTGAAACTGATGACTTCTCAAAGATTAAATAGACTCGACTAGCCCTATATAAACTTCTGTCAGCAACTGCTCAAGCAACGGCTGCGATCGAGTACTTCTTTGGGCTAATTAGGACACTTTCATCCCTAAACAGTGAAGTCTTCACGGTCAATCGTAACCGTTTGATCGTGCACTCATGCGCTTCGTACGAAACTCTGGGAAAGCGATACCTTTGGATGCACGAGTGCTCCTCAAAAGTTCCTCTTCTTTTCAGTGAAGGACCTTAAAAGTCATGACCCATGATACGTTTTTGTGTTTTTCTGTTGGGCCAACGAACGGAATGTGGTCAAATTGTCAAAGCCCAAAAGAAGAAGCAGGGAAGACAACACGATTGGCGAGAGTGTCGAGATTACATGTCTTCCTTCTAAAACGATGTCCTCATCAACATCGCGCCCACCCCCTCCCTTCAAACGCTATATACTAGTTGGAAGCGAAAAAGCTCTCTCTTTTACCTTTCGATTTTTCTTGGCCTAATCACACACTTCCCTCTCGACACTGCGAGTCAGCACGAACGCTCTCTCCCCGCTTCTCTTCGCTCACCTCCTCATCGCCGCGGCCTCCGTCGCGGCGGCCGCGGCCATCGACGCCTACCCGACCATCCCCAGCGTCGGCGACTGCTCGGTGTCCGACGGTGGCGAGGAGCTCAGGCCCGTCCGCCGAGAAGTTTATGATGGCGGGAGGATCTTCGATATCAGCCATAGGATCACTAGTGATATGCCGTCGTGGAAATCGGATGATGGGTTGGGTTAGTTTGTGCGGCTCGCGGCGAGCATGAAGAATGGGTCTTTAGCGAATAACTCGGACATGAAGCTGCCCGCTCACACGGGGACACACGTGGATGCTCCGGGTCACGTCTTTGATCACTACGTCGATGCCGGTTTTGATGTGGACACGCTTGATTTGGCAGTCCTCAATGGTAAATTTGTGGGCTTTTCGTGTCGGTTTCTGATGGTGGGTTTGATTTCTTCTTTTGGGTATCAGTATCAGTAGGTTTTAGGAGGAGTTGTTATTTTTAGCTTCTGTAGTTGATGATTGTGTGGTTCTGCCGACTATGGCTTTGAGCATCTTCAAAATTGTTCTTTGCCGAGGAGTAATAATTTGCACCGACCTTTGTCTTGTGAACTTCAAAGCCTCACGAGTCTCACTTGTCAATCAATCAAATGGTTGGTTTCTGTGGCCAAGGATTTAGGTGGTTAATTGAAAAGGTAAGTCTTGTTAATTAGAGTAGACCAGTTCTTATACAGCGCAGGAGTATGTAGAGACGTGTTGAAGTTAATTCAAGTTGATTTAAGGGTCTCTCCGTTCTTATTTTTCTTATCCTCATCTTCATTGATGTAGTGCTATGCTATACTCTCTGTCTTGTAAAATTTTGGTGCCTGTTGGTTTCTCCTTCTTTAGGTCCGGCATTGTTGGTTGACGTTCCAAGGGATAAGAATCTCACAGGTATGTCCCTCAGTTGAGTTTCTTGCAGCATGCTGATCACTTATGTGTTATGCATGCTAAGTTGTCAAAAAACATAGTCTTAACATGCTTCTTCCACGAAGTTTCTCCATTCATGCGTTAGTGCAAACAGCATATTGAGGGATCGGTTCAATTTGTTTAGTTACTTGTGCCGTGCTTGCTGGTTTTATTTTATTTTGTGAAAAATGTAGAAGGGAAATATCATCCCCTTGGATTTACTCTAATGGTTCTTTCTATCCTCCCATGCAGCTTGATGTAAATGACCGTATCTTTATGTGTGCAATTTTGGTTTTGTGGATAGAATGACTGTTCTTCAAATAATTGAAGGGCCACTACTAATGATGTTTTCTGAAAAATTTTGATTCGGTTATGAAATATTTGGAATAGTATGATCACATCAGCATGCAGCTTATTGTGCTAACTGCTTTAATAGTGTTTGGCATTTGATACACGGGTAGCGGATTTTGCCTTAATTCATGCAAAATCTGAGCTAGATAGCAATTAAGTGAAACTGTGTTGGCTCTTAACAATAAGCAACGATTTTTGTTTCATTTGTCATCAATTGGGCTGTTGACAGTTTTACACGGTTGTAGCGTTCAGCCT